TTCCTCTTATCTTTTTGATAAATGAGGCTACTGCCTTCCTAACTTATTAAGGCATTTAGCCTCTCCTTTACATTTGGAACACATATCTGATATACAAAGTAATTCTGAAACACTTCACCAGAAAACTATCTTGGTGAAGACCAACTGAACTCAGGTTTTTGGTTTCTGAGATCTCCTAAGATTGCTCTCTAACAGAAGATCACTTGCATTTCCTCCTTCAGGGCCAAACATGTTTCCTTTTCAAGGTTAACACTTGCAGATTTTTGTTGATCTCTGGAATGTTATGGGATAAAAAAGGGGGGTTAAAGTGTTACTTTTCCCCTGAAAAGTAGCTCAGTTTCTTCTGGAGGAACATTCTATTATTAAGCAGTCACTTCAGTTTCTATGAAAATGAATGACCATCCGATACACAAAAGTGCACTACTGTACTCCTAAATAGATGGAGGCTCCCAACACAAAGCCCAGGCACAGACTCCAAGGGCATTGCCAGGCTGTTTCTCACCATGGTTTGGAGAGGCAGGGAACAGGGCATAGCACCTTCAACAGGACATATTCCACTATGTGCACTTACAAGCATTCAGGACCACAGCTCTCTGGCTGCTCTTGTCACCAGGCAATGCTTCCTCCCTGCTCACTCCTCTGTATTCCAGAGACGAAAGTAGAGACATTTGAGATGTGATTGTCCCAGTTGTCTCAACATTTCATAAAGGACAGAAAGTCCTTTAATATAAAAGTTGCTTATAAAGGGGCAGCTGCTCAGTATTTCTGTTGGATGAACACGTTAGTCAGTATTTGATATTCAGGTAGCCTTTTTTCTTTTTCACAATATATGCAATGTTAGGAATAATGAGTTCACCATGGCTCCAAGTGCTGCAAACACAAAGTGTTGGGGTTTTACGGAGCATTCTAAAATGTAGAACTGCTTCACTAATGTCATACAATTTAAATCCAAGAATTAGGTATCAGTGTTTCATTTGTAATCTTTTTTCTTCAAAGAAACAAAAATTTACTTTATCAAACTGCAGAATCACAAGCAAAAATCTCGGAGCCTGAAAGGCAGAAGCCACTCACTTTTCATGGTGCTCTGTCCCTCACCATCTCAGCATCAGAACATCTCCATAGAGGTGTCACAAGGGGACCTGAGGTAAAATCCCTAAGATTTATATTATGCAAGAGTTTGGATATCAGGATACTATTATTCTTAAGTCCTCCTACTGAGAACTTTGTTTTCAAACACAATATTCCTGATTCCAAAATTATAACTGTGAAGAAATCTGATGATTTTTGGAGTGCACTTTAACACATATTTCTAAATGTTGTTAAGGTTCATTTAAGGTGGCAACTACCTTTGAATAAATATCCAGTTCTACTGACATCTAAGATGAAACAATTGTTCAGTAAATTTTGTCATTTAGTTCACTGGAATTGGAATTTCACTTCAAGTTTTGGCTTAACAAAACAAGGGATAACATCCTAAAATTGGATCTAGCACTTCTAAAGAGGACAACAATCTGGAGAATTAAGATTAAAAGAAAAGTAGGCAGCAGGTCAAGGGAGGTGATTCTCCCTCTCTACTTCGCTCTCATGAGACCTCACCTCAAGTGCTGCTCTGGGGTCCCCAACATAAGAAGGATGAGGACCTGTTGGAGCAAGTCCAGAGGAGGGCCACCAAGATGATCACAGGACAGGAACAACTCTCCTACGAAGAGAGGCAGAGAGAGATGAGGTTCCAGTACCTAAAGGGGCTACAAGAAAGCTGGAGAGGAACTTTTTACAAGGCCATGTAGTGATAGGACAAGGGGAAATGGCTTTAAGCTCCAAAAGTGAAGGCTAGATATTAGGAAGGAAGTCTTTACTGTGAGGGTGGTCAGGTACTGGAACAGGTTGCCCAGGGAAGCTGTAGATGCCCTGTCTCCAGTAGTGTTCAAGGCCAGGTTGGATGGGGATCTGAAGAAACCTGTTCCAGTGAAAGGTGTCCCTGACTATGGCAAGGGGTCAGAACTGGGTGACCTTTAAAGTCCCTTCCAACCAAAACCATTCTATGGTTCTATGATTTTACCGTATGGTTTATTTATTCCATGATGACAAGGAGACAGCCAGAGCAGTCTTTCCATATTCCTCCTCTAATGCACAGGGATTTTTTTTTTTTTAATTAAAGCAGTAGAAAATAGCAGTCCTAAACAATGCCATATTACTTCATAGTTTTAAACATCATTTCATGTACTATGCATTGTTTCCTCCATTGCACTCTAGGTTGTTATGAAAACAAACTTAAAACATTTGTTGCTGTGCTATGTATAGCCGTGCTCAGAGTCCTTTTCTCTTTTTCATTATTTCTATCTGGAAGCTTTTCTTGCAGCAGTATTGTTTCTCATTTGGAAAAAAAAAATGGCAAGAGAAGATGAAGTATTTAAAAGCCTCACATCTTACAGAGTACCCCAGTTATAAATATGCTACAATCAGCACACTACACGTTTTATGTAGAAAGAACCAGATGATGGTAGAATTCAGTTCGTGCTAAGAAAGCAGGAACAGGGCTTATAAGAATGCTTACATCTGTCCCTAATTTGCTTGCACATAAACCCACAGTAATCTGCTTTATTGCCAAAGTCATATAAAAGAATTGAGCACCAAGCAGCACAGGTAATCTTGAACTGGAGGCCCTCCAGCCTAATTAGACACAAACGCCCAGAAGGCCCGAGACTGAAATATGGCATGTAGATTTTGAAATGTATGAAGAGACAGAACAGTCTCATTAGCAGCCATCCGAGTGGATGCTTAAGCCTCTGAAGTTCCTTGTTTTGACCGAGGGAAGGAGTAAGCCATGTCTATGCCTGAGGCTAAGTACAAGGAAAAGCATCCTGTTACTTCTGGAATGGCCCTGATCTCCCAACCCCCATCGCAGCACATTCCTCCTGGGCTTTGTGCAATTCCTGGCTACTCTCTTCGTAAAGACATGCCCACAGTCAGCAAGCTGATTTAATGTCAATAATGCTAGAAAGCCAAAACATTATAACTCATTGAAAAATAAGACAAAGAAGCAATTCAGTGCAGAGTTTATAGAGGTATTGGTTCATTATTCACTATTTAGTAGATACATTTCTTAAGAAAGTTAGTTATGGAGTTTTGCCAGGAGCCATTAAAAAGTGATAATTTCCCTTATTTCAAACTGCTGAACATTTTTTATTTTTATGGCATCAAACGACTATTGTTGGCTACTTTCTGATTACAGGCTTGTCCCTCTCTGATTACAAGCATGTGTCTACTTTATAGAACAATAGAAAATTATGAGTGAATTAAAGAGATAGGCAGAGGAGAAGACAATGACAATTTTAAGGCAGAGTAGCTGTGGCAGAAAAGGCTATGTATGACACAGAACTGACCTCCATATTGCAGACTTCAGGCACACTCAGGGACCGTCTATTTTTGGAAACATAACAGCTACACTTAACTAACCAGAGGGTGTGATAGAAATGTTTTTATCAAGTTATCTCCCTCTAAGTCATTTGGAGGAACAATGCAAGGCAACATATTATTTCCTTTTTCAATTGAGTTTTTACATTATCAGAAAATATCACACAGGTCACAGAATTATAAACAACTTTTTGTTCTCATAACATTAGGGGAGCTTTGTATTTCTTTTCTTTTTCTGCAAACACAACACAAAGGAGACACAGAGAAGAGTCCAGAGATCTTGTGTGCAATAAAAAATTATGGATAGAGTCTTCTCTTAATTGACATCAAGGTCACTTTGTATTGTTATCTGTGATGCTGTTGTTGTATTAGTGCCTGAAGTCACCAATCAGCCCCATTTTCTTGATAAATTTTATGGGAAGACTATTCGACATTTAACTTCACTAGCAAGCACCACTGAAGCATTACTGTTACAAAACAAATAGGCAAATTTTAAGTGAGGATAATTTTTTTAAGAACTTTTCTTCAAGATTTTTTTAATGCTTCTTGGATTTGTAAAGGATTTGGGCTTTTTTTTTTTTTTAAAGAATATGTACCAGGACATTCATTGTTCTTTTTGCCCTTCCCTATGCTTTAGCTTTGGGATTCAAGGAAAGAAGAAAATAAAGCAGTAGAAAAGGAGGTACTTGGCCACAACATGGCAAGACTTATAGTACTGTCCATCTCTGTCTGATGTCACCCAGCAACGAATATCGGGGGATGCCCCTCTGGTAGGGGACCCGCAACCCGCCAAGGGAACAGAGCTTTGGACCGCGGGCACGTCTGACTACGAGGGCGCACACAGACAGACATGAGCTCACCGCCCACGCAGGAGCCAGCTCTGGTCCAGGAGCCACAAAGCCTCATTAGAGCAAACCCGTGCCCAACCTGATGCGTCCGTGCCCTGCAGAAGAAGCCGGGATTAACCGGCAGGCATCCACTCCTACAGCGCTGGACAGCAGCAGAAAGCCTGGCGGGCGCTACGATGGAGCACATGGACCAGGCACCGCCGCTGCTGTGTTGGTGACCTGCCAACCTTCGCTCAGGACAAATGTAAACAAGGACAAATAAAGAGGGAAGTGGGCAAGCCTTGCCTGGCTGAAGCAGATGAGAGAGGAGATGCCACCTCAGTGGGCCCAGGCCCACGCAAGAGCAAACCAGCTCCGAGGGCACATGCAGGGGCGGGTGTCTGGGGCGCGGTGGGAAGCAGTGGGGATGGGAAAAGTGCCTGGGGCGCGATGGGAAGCAGCGGGGATGGGAGAAGGCACCCAGGCACGAGGAGGCCGTCGGCGAAGCCAAGCGGGATGGCAGAGGCTGGGAGATACCCCAGGTGGGCAGAGCAGGGTGGCCGAGGCGGGGGCCAGTGAGGAGGAAGCTGCGAGCCCCGGCCCCAGGGGAACAGGGCTCACCTCTGGGCTGAGCTGCACCCTCCCCGCGAGCCCTCTAACCACGGGAGGTGATCAGGGAGGAGCCCCTGTGCCTGACCCCGAGGGGTGCCTCAGCTCCCCTCCATCTCCCCGACCCCGCCACCGGCAGGACGCCCTTACCTTCCCGCCGCGGGCGGGGCCGCTCTCGCCCGGACCCCCGGCTGGTCCCGCCGGGGGCCGCAGGGCCGGGCCGGCCCTGCCGCCCCTTTCCCGAGGGGCAGCCCCGGCCCGGCCCGCGAGGCGCTCCCGGGGCCGCCGGCGGCGCGGAGCCGAGCGGGGAAACCCCGGCTCTCCCGGCTCTCCCGGCCGCCGCGGCACCTGTTGCCAGGGAAACCCAGGTGTCTCCTCATCCGCGGCCATCCCCGGCGGAGCGGGAGGAGGCGGGCGAGGGGTGCGCGGGGGCGGCGGCGCTGCCAGCGCGGCGGGGGAGGCGGAAAAATTAACAAGTAGCTTTTTCTGCGGGGGATTGGCGGGGGGAAGGGTGTCTTTGGGCAGGTTTCTCCCAGTTTTGGGCACAACAAACCCCTCTCATCTATGAAGCTGGGGCCTGTTTCAAAAAGAGTAATTGTGATTTGGGCAGGAACTGCCAGTCCCGGCGAGCCCAGAGAGACTGCTGTGTCCTGGCCTTGTTATGCCGGACTCTGGGAAGCAGGTGGAGAAATCATGGGCGGATTTCCTCTGGTTATAAAGGCTTTCTGAGGGGAGAGAGCGATGTCATTGTGTTGACTAGTTCAGCAGCAGTTCTATCCGTAACACGAGGGAAGATCACAGGAGAGATAACACCACTCAAAAATTGTCTCTATTCCCTTTTGCTGCACAACTGTTTTCCTTGGAGTTAACAACTAATCAATTCCAGGAATTTGATGGAGGCTCTGTATTAAAGTAACTGCAGCTCGCCAGGCTTGCCAGCACCCGCTCACCTCGGGGCTGATCCCTGTGTCCTAGTCCTGGCTCTCTTTGACTGAAGTCTTCTCCTTTGCAGCTTTTTTTGCAGCAGAAAGGGTGCATCTCTCCGTTTGGATCCTCGTGGTACTGCTTTATTTCCAAAATCCCATAGGACTCAGCCTGTAAACTAAAATAGTGTCTTATAATGGAAGTAAAAACTGATTTGACAATTTCTGATCATATATTCATTGCTATTAATTTTCTTTTAAACACTTGAAATTAACATTTTTTACCCAAGGAAAAGTTTGAATATTTCCTGTTTCAAAAAGCAAAAATGAGGCATGATTGTATATTTTGAAGGTGTTAATAAGCAAGAAATGTGTATTATTTTATTCAAGTTAATGTACTGAGTCCTGACAGTAATGATTTACAAACCATCATATGCAGCACTTACAACTAAAGCAGTTGGGAAACGTCAGAGCAGATATTCTTCTCCCTCAGAAAGGCCATATCTGCTAAACTGAAAGTCTCCACGGAAATATACCAGTTTCCAAGAGAATGGTCATCAGAAAAACCTCTAAGACCTGGCTCCAACTTTTTTTTAGACAGACAAACCAGTGTAGTCCCTGCATAGGCCACGGTCCTGGCTCTGGTGGCCCAGAATTAGGCATCACAATCTCATATCCTTCTGCCAACAGTACTGGGGAGCACCCAGCAGAGTCTTGGCAATAGTGGTTTCTGCCCCACAAATCTTTTAATCCAATAAAAAATCACCAGACACTGGGCAGCACTCCTTTATCCCAGCAAAATCACATCAGCTTTCAGCATGTGTGCCCTCTCTTCCACATTGCTAGACTGGAGTCTCTTCCGAAATTCCAATCCTATCCCATAAAAAAAACCCTGCTCGTAAGAGAGACTGCTGTCGTTGTCTTGGAAGGGAAGAAATGCAGTAAAATTAGAAGAGATAAGGGTATTTTATCTCCAGATATAATCTGCAGCAGTTGCTATGGTTTTGCACATTCTGAGGTTGTTTTGCCGCATCAGCATTAAAAATTGTCATAAAACATCAAAGGCTGAAGAAGAGGCACCTCAATACATGTGCTGCATACTCGTTCCAGAGTTTCTGTGTCAAGATATGCCACAGATAGTAGTTTTCAGAGCCTATCAGATCTTCAGACCCCCTGCACACTGACCTGCAAGGCAAATTCCTATATCTTTCCCTTGTTTCAGCAGGACTAAAAGCTCTCTTGTGAATGAGAAAGACTCATGCTGTGTGTCACATGTGCACCGATAACTTAGCAGTAATTCCTTTTCCCTCACTTTTTTGCATAATTATTTCACCTTTCTCACATACAGCGTGAGATGAATCTTCAGTTTAATAAGTACCCCCGAGAAAGTGAAGTGTCTTTCGATGAGCTTGGGGGCAGTTACAACCCATCCTCTTCAAGCATTCAAGTTATGAGCTAAAGAAAAGGAGTTTTATATACTGTTGTGGCAATTATCTCTCCGAATATAAGGTTGCCTCTCTTCTCTCACTTATTTCTTCAGGGGCTTTAAAAAAATGCACAGGGGAAAAAAAAAACCTCAGTTTTTTCTTTCAGTTCAGTGAAATTGCAATGGGTGCTGTACATTTGTAGAAATACCTGCCATAGCTTTATTCTGAAGAATACAAAGAACAAGAGGAACTTCGAGGATTTTTCCCTAACACTTTTTGACCATCACTATTGTAAAGTTCATGAAACTTGTGTATGTGAAATGCCAGAGAAATGGTGCATTTTTAAGGTCCCCGTTTGTAACCTTGCATGAACTCTTGGTATAAATCAGGAGTCAAATGAAGATTAAAAGGTGTATGAAATGAATTAATGGTAGTTTTTTAATATGCTAATTTTTTGTGGCTGGTGTTCAGATGACAGGTGACCTTATAAAATCTACCAGTGATAAAGATTTTTACCTGCCCTGTGGCTCACATACAGCAACAGCACCAATTTGAAGTATTTTTAATCAAGGTACTTGCAGAACATCACAAGGTGTAGATATGTTAGTCATTTGTCTCCTGAACTCTTTCGTCTTTCTCATACAAGAAGGATTCAACTTACTGAGTCACAGCAAAGAAACCATGTAGAATTTTATCGAAGGGTTATATGCAAAAACTATGCGCCACCAATGGCACTGATCCAGTAACTAACATATGCTATGGCGACGGTAACACCACATGGGAGTGATGGGCTGGGCTGCGGGGTGAAAGGAAGTGCTAAGCAGAGTACGCGGTAGACGGAGGGAGCTATTCCAGGTTTATCTTCCCAGTGCTATTTTTAAGTTTTATATTAAATTTGATCTCGATACAGCCCTTCTTCCCATAGCTTTGGAAGTCAGTGCAGCACAAGCACACAGAAAATACTTTCCAGTTACAGCATGAACAAGCTGAGCAGGAGGGACTCACTGCAAGATTATCATCCAAATCGCCATCTGCCCAAGGGAAAGGACAGCATGTAGTTGCACTATTCCTGGAGCAAAGAAAGGACCAGGTAGTTACCAAGTACTTCTTGCTCTCTGCAGAAAGTTATTACAGCCCACCTCAGGAGGTTTGCTCCTGCACTAGCTTGTTCATGCTGCCAGTGGCTCTAGCAAAGACAGGCAAATTTCTGCTTGTGTCCCTGCCTCAAAATTTCATTGTTGCAACTCCACCGATTTTGGGGTGGGGAGGTGAGAAACAACAACAAAAAACGTGATCAAAAACGTGGCCCCCTGAAACAGGAGAAAGAGAAGGTAGGATGAGAATATGTTTCCTTCCCCTTGTACACTTTATGACATTGTCTTAACCTGCATCATCTGAAGAAAGAAGTCACAGGCCAACCCTGAGCTGCTTTTATTCCAGAAGTGGTCAGGGCCTAGAAGCTGTTCAGTTTCTTATCATGTTAAGAAGCTGGCCTAGAAGGCATGGACAGCTAATTTATTCCAGTGAAGCCCCTTCCTCTCCAACATGATTGTCACACTACCTAGCTTTCATGAGGGGATAGAGAATGGCTCCTGCAGACCCATGTCAGCAGGATTCCACTTTACCATGGTGCAGAAACTGGGAGTCAACCAGCTACACCAGCAATACTCTCATTCCTTACTGTCAGAGAAGCATGAAGAGCTTGTGGGGAAGCTGAGGGTTGGAGCTGACATTTACAAACTAAGAGCAAGGATAGTTGCAATGTCTACAAGCATGAAACTTTCATTCACAGTTTCCAAATGTTCTGCTTCACAGAAGTCAAAAGCTCCCACTAGTCCCTCAGGAGCTTACCTGGGATCAGAAAATTATTTTATCTAGTGCAGAAGACAGCTGGACATTACCGTGACCAGGTTTGGCAAGTTCCCAGAGGTTGATAGTCCATTTGACAATATTACCATTATGTGGGTTTGCTTCTGTGCTATATGGATGCATAATTTAAGATAGTGAGATGAAACTTACCACACAGCATTCTACTTACTTTATTCCTAGCTGAACAATTACAGTCAGTCAGTCAGACATTTTATATCTGTATATAGCATTTAATCCATATTGCAATAATTCATGTACCATGTTATATTACTGCACTGAGCCTCTGCCAGTTTCAGATCAGTCACCTCTGTCAAGTCCCATAGGATAAAAGGGCCTGTAAGACCTATTCAAAATAATTTTCTACCCTGGATGGCCACACATGATGTAACTTCCATCACCAGCCAGGTGCCAGGGGAAGAGCAACTGATGTGGAAAAAAGTTGGAAATGGTATTCCTGCCTATGTCATACCAGCTGCTGAACTTATGCTCTATTGTTATCTGAATTTGCACTTGCAGTGACTGCCTGGACAGCCTCTTATTTTAATTGCTGTTACTTTCAATGACATTAATCTAGGGGAGGGAACTTAGAGTTAAAGCAGCATATTTTATGTTTATAGAAATGATAATCATGTTCAGAGAGCAGATTAAAAGGGCTCTCATAATGATGGCAGTGAAGGCAGAAGATAGAGCTTTCATTTCCATAAAGCATCAAGCAAACTCTTTTTTACTGCCAACACAATCTGCTGCTGGCTGTAACTATTTATGTTTATTTTTATGTATTTATTATGAGTTTGTCCCCTGCTGTCAAGGAGACAGGCTTCTGCTCCTTACCTTTCAGGAATGCATTAATCCTGGTGATTGGTTAACGTATGGTGAGGGAACAGAGCAAGGCGAATGAATACAAGCTGCAGCAACCTAGTGCAGTGTAAATCCGGGGAACAAACTGAACTAGATAAAAGAGATGGAATACGGGAACCGTTCTTAATCCTGACAATTACAAGC